TTGTTATTGTTTACTATAATGATATGTTTTTAAAAATAACATATGTACAATCATAACAGCTGGGAGTTTATGCGATTACATACACCCAAACACTTACTATAAAAAGGAATTGCTTTCAGAACTCTAACTCATATGACATTCATGAAAGGGCAGAATTGACACAAAATAAGGTGTAGTTGCGACGATCATTCGCAACCGAAATCTTCCTCGCTAACAATAACAAGAACTGTTAGAAATTCTGGCACTGACGTGCTTCAAACGACCTAATTAGAAATGACCCACTCTAGTGTTGACGGATTCCTTCTTTCCTTAATAATAAATACTCGTTAGTACTTTTATTATAATTTATAATTTATTTCTATAGGGGACGCTAAGATAAGTGAGAGAGAGAGAGAGAGTTGGCTAGAGAGAGAGAGAGAGAGAGACACGTGATAGCTAGAGGACAGAGTAGGCTCGCACGCTGAGGCTGTCATAGGAGAAGATGGCGCCCTTCGCACAATTTTAAGTACAGTATGTAAGAGAGTGAAAGAGAGCAAGGCATGCGTTCGATCGACTCACGTAACTGACAATAAAATTTATCACAATCTCCATGCAACCTTTTCTTTGTTTTCGTTCCAGGCGATTTTCCGTACATATTATTCCGACCGACACGCTTGTACGAAGAATACGCGAATACGAGTATGCGAGTCGTGCTTGCGCACATGCGAGCGAGTGAAACATGAAACGTCCGTCTTGCTTAACGTCCAACCGCCTACATAGTCCAGTAAAGTAGGGCCTGAACTTCAAAAATGAAGGTACCGAGCTGTATTTTTGATATTATGTTTGTTTGTTGGTATGAAAATCGTGTTTAAAAAAACAGCTCTGAAAACTCATGGAAAATGCGGAAAATCATGAAAAGTTTCGCTTTTCCGAGAATATCTCGTAAACCGTGCAGAATATCGAAAAAAGTTTCGAACAAAAGTTGTTCCGTGTCGAATTTTACATCGAAATATATCATCACATGTCAATTTCAACCAAATATTAATTCTCAATCGTCAATTTTCCGATCCTATCCTTTTCTCGGAGGCGAGTACAGCTGTTGCCCATTTGCAACCTACTGCGCACGTACTGTGCAGTCCCACGCTGCCCGAACCACACAAGCTTTTGCTTGCTTACTCTAATCTAGCGAGTCTCGTTTAATAAACTATCACAGTCGGATCGGTTTTCTACTTCACAAGTTTTATTATCGATACTGGTATTTTATAATTATACTCAACCTATTGCTTGCCAGGATATTTTCTTATGGAGTTTGATATTATCTGTGCGTGTATAGAAAGTACCCTCGTGCAAATATATTATCGAAGTCGAGAAAAAAATTAGATGTAGATGAATGCAGAAGTCATTTGTCTTTAATATATAAGTGAAAAAAATTATGTTTATTTTATATAGTAATGTGCTTTTCATCGACGTGTAGTTATGTTCGAGGTTAGGTTAGTCGTGCAAATACAACAAGGCATTTATGTTGATAAAAGTACGGTCGGTCGTTTCAGACACGTGCATAATGCAGCTCATTGAAATTTCGTCATCATAAATATGTGTGATACTAGGAGTTTTTAAAAAGATGGTAAATACTGTTATAACATTTTTTATGGTTTCACGAAGATGAATAAAACATGCCAGGAAGCATCAAACTGAAGGTAAATGATAAATATGAGAAATTATATATTATTAATTGTTGAGCATAACTAATTCTCTATTTTTATGGGAATATTTAAAGACCAATGATAACCTGACTTCTACAATTGAATTTAAATATTTCAAGAGTTTTGGAATGTTTGTCTATATTTTAGCTACGTTTTACAACCGATCGTTAATAACGAAATTCATCGAATATAAAAAGTACCAAGGTAAAGAAATAATAGCTTAAGTAATATTTTACTAAATTTTATAAAAACATATTCAGCTTCTATGCTTATAGTAGGTTTTATTTACGCCGTTGTAGTACTAAATATAATTAAATTTACAGTGCTTCTAGAAAAATGGAAAACGAAAAGAAATGTACTGTGTGTAATAAAGATATACTAAGTGATGAGGAATCAATTACAGTTAAATTAAAGGGATTAAACACTTTTATCGAGAAAAGCAAATTACGAGATGATGGCAAATGGACGTTTTGGGAGCATCACAATGATATGACTTTTCATTTAGCATGTCAAAAAAGATATTCTGCATTATCTAACTATCCGCCAAAAAGAAAATCTGAAAACTCTGACTTTGAATTTGAATCAGCCTCATCAAATAAGAAAATTAAGATATCTTCGCCAATAAATAATGAAGCAATAGGTAATTCAGATGATGACGACGGCAATGATACTGATTTAATGGTTTTAATAATAGCACGAACGCCAGATAACGAAAATATTTATTTTCGAAGGATCTTACCAGGAAAGAAAATCGAAGAATTGTCTTCACATCACAAGCACTTGAAAAGCATCATTTTATTTGCACACGCTTTTGTAGGGTGCGACACGACCAGTTCGTTTTTCAGGCATGGAAAAAGAAACATCATATCGCTGTTGCAAAAAAACGCTGATCTCAAAACAGCAGTGCAAATATTTTACGAAAAAGATAAAACGATCAACGAGTTGTATCCTATTGCTGAAAATGTAGTCAAAAATTTGTATGGTGCAAATTCTGCTGAACTAAGCATACCTCAAATAAGGTATAAGATGTATCATGTTGATTTTGAATCGATATCTAACAAACAATCCACTTTGCCGTTATTACCTCCTACAGAATCAACACTAATTGAGCATACGAAGCGCACATATTATCAAATTTAAGTCTGGTTAGGTCATAATGATGTGCAAGCTACAGACTGGGGATGGGTTGCATTAAATAACATACTAGTTCCTTTAATGACAACTAATCCGCCAGCTCCACCAGAATTGTTGCGAACCGTGAGTTTAAAAATATATTATGGAATTATTTTAGAGGCTATAACAATATTGTATGATTTCTCATTGTTTTTTTTTAGGTTTCTTGTAGCTGTAAGGGAAATTGTAACAGCCGTTGTGGTTGTAAGAAAGCTGGATTAAGCTGTTCACGTATATGCAAAAACTGTCGTGGCGAAACTTGTACTAATCGATCATTATTAACATCAATAGTAGCAGAGGTCAATGAAGCTGAAGAGCAAGTTGCCGAATCTTGCGAAACTGTACACCAAGATTATATGGTAGATCCGCTTGAAGAAAATCAATACTTACAATACAATGGCATCGACGATTTGGAATATAACGATTATTTTTAAATAATACGTTCCTTGAGAATTTTTACAAATTGATTTGGATTATAATTACGTATTTAATATGTAATTACTTAAATTATGGTTTCTCTTGAAATAATCTTCTGATACAATTACTGTGCTATTTTGTTAAATGTTTATAAATAAATACTAAAAAGCAAAACTTATATTAATATCCTTTTGTATAACCTAACTGAAAAAAAATTTTGTTTACTACGCTGCTGTATTTTTACTGTTATTAAAAAATTACTTTTTTACATTATTGATATTTTTTGTTAATTCGTCGGTCTGTAATATTATTATTTTGCACAATAATGTTAATATCTACTTTGTTAGTCTGACATTTGTAATTTAAATGAGCTTTTCACATTGAAATAAATTACATAAAAAAATTAAAATGAATAAGAGGCTACACTTACAACGGTAACTAAATAACATTATATTTCTTCGATATTAGTGTTGTATATTTACTTATAAATTGAAAAGATTTTATTCTGCTTGGGTTAATAGGGTCTTTATCAATAGAAACGTTTGTCTCATTAACAATTATTATTAAAAATATTGTACCATTTTCAGTTTATCTAAACTCGCTAGAATTCCCCAAAAATGTAACGACCAGCTGGCTGCTTTTAAGTCTCGAGTAAGCAAGCACACGCTTGTGTGGTTCGGGCAGCGCGGGACTGCGCAGTACGTGCGCAGTAGGTTGCAAATGGGCAACAGCTGTACTCGCCTCCGAGAAAAGGATAGGATCGGAAAATTGACGATTGAGAATTAATATTTGGTTGAAATTGACATGTGATGATATATTTCGATGTAAAATTCGACACGGAACAACTTTTGTTCGAAACTTTTTTCGATATTCTGCACGGTTTACGAGATATTCTCGGAAAAGCGAAACTTTTCATGATTTTCCGCATTTTCCATGAGTTTTCAGAGCTGTTTTTTTAAACACGATTTTCATACCAACAAACAAACATAATATCAAAAATACAGCTCGGTACCTTCATTTTTGAAGTTCAGGCCCTACTTTACTGGACTATACAGAGAGAGATTGGCGCTGTCCAGAGATCGATCACTATAAGTATCGGCTTTATTTGTGTCTCTCTCCTTCTCCGTGGCACAGACCATGCTTGTTCTCTCCCTCTCTCTCTCTCTCTCTCTCTCTCTCTCTCTCTCTCTCTCTCTCTCTCTTTTGCTGTTACTACTGTATTCCTATTCTAGTTGTTACCATTCTCTTTGTTAAAGTTGTTACAATGATTTGTGCCTGTTTTGCTTAACTTACTCTCCTTATCATCGGTCACGCGCTGTCGTAATCTAAATATATTTCACGTTCTGGACATCGGCATTTAAACACACACCGGCCACGATCCGCTATCGTGAGGAATTGAATCTACCAAAAAAGCTACAGTAGCCTGCACCTTTCCCTGCTTCATAAGAAATCCTTGCTTTTATAATAACGGTCATTGGCTCATGAGACTTTCAAAAACCGTGTTACATAATTTGTGAAACAAAAAACATGTTGAACAAGAAATTGTCAAATTAAGTAGAAATCTACCTACATTCTTGTAGAATGAATACATAAATAGGCTTTACTTTAATTAATTTCCAATAATTTCTATATGAAAATCAATTGGACGTCATTGTTAACAAAATACTAAACTTCTAAAGATAATACTTTTCAAAACTTAATTTATATTAATATTGACGTTTCTTGCAGTTAATAGAAAAAGAAGGTATTCTTACTCTCACAAGGCCTGAATTGCAACAAGCTTGTCGTGCTCGTGGTATGAGAGCATATGGTATGTCCGAACAAAAATTGAGAGAACAATTATCCCAATGGCTGGATTTGAGTTTAAATAAAAAAGTACCTCCATCACTTTTACTACTATCTAGAGCTCTTATGGTACCAGAAACAATCTCTATGTCTGATAAATTGAAAGCTACAATTTCAGCTCTTCCAGATTCAGTTGTTGCTAGAACTAAAGGAGCTATAGGAGAAAAAGAAGGAAAATTAGACCATAAAACAAACATTGAAATAATAAAAATGGAAGAGAAAAAAATAGAAGAAGAAAGAGAAGAAGAAATAACAATTAAAATGTCGGATTTAGATAGTATGCATAAATTAGTAGTATCTAAAATGCCGGAAAAAGTTGATGAAATTACAACAGTTGATGTGAAAGTCTTAGAGCAAGCATTGGATTCTGTTGGAAACGTAAGTTTCTCGTAACTTAATGTTTACTATTATAATGGTCGCCTTTCCAGTTTTTTGTCATTAAAGCCTTTAAATTATTTAAATAATAATATTTGGCAAGATTAACCTAGCTCCTGGTTGCTCTTTTAATTTTTCTTTTTCAATTTGCTCTTAAGATTATGAGATGGAAAATATTTTTCTCCAATCTATAAAATTGATATTTTACATTTGATAAGATTACGTCTTAATTGCAGTTGTATTCAATTACAATGAAATTTTGAATAGAATTTGAATTGAAACAAATTCTGCAAATGATTTCTTTTTCCTTTGATTAATAATAATTCGGGAAGAAATTGCACTGGTTACTTCTTTTGTTAGGCGATCGACTATTTTTAATTTATATAAGAATAAGATAAAACAAATCTTCTTGAATGTTATACATGAAAAAATATTAATTTGTATTATTTTGTTTAATCTTGTAACGGCTGATGACAATAATGATGATTTTTCACTTTCAATTTGAACTGATGTTGTCATGAATGTGTCTACAAAAAATGATGTTACTATCGTTGGAGGCGTCAATGCATGCGAACAGTTAATTAAACATAAACTTCAACATTGTTAACTTAATTATTATTATTGGATTGTCGCTGTGCTGTAAGTTATATAAATCGTAGATTTATATGTACCATAAAAATGAAACAACTATAAAAAAATTAGTTATAGACATCAAACGTGGAATTGAATATTAACTTACAGGAAACGTACTATTAAAATTTATAGTACTTGTACTATTGCTGCCAGGGACCAAAACTAACTACCTTCCTCGGGTCGTTGTATCCAAATCCGAGGTCTTTTTATCCCTTCAAGGTCACGTCAAGATGAATTCACAGAATTCAACAAAATTAACTTGAGTAATATAACAGCAACAACAAAATTAATATTATGCAATGAAAATATATCATGGTCAAATCATTACAAATTGTAAGTCATGAAAATATATCATATAAATATATTATAGTATTTCAAACGGTAAAGAGGATTTCCACCTTTAGAAATTATAGAAATTTGCTTCAAATTTATTACTCTTTTTTATGATATCAAACAACTTTGTTGTCAAATGATCTATAAGTGGATTTCTCTTCCATTTTTTATAGTTCTGGTGGTAAATCTCCTTTCAAGGAATAGTAATAATCTTTTAACATTGATATCCCATCTTCCTTAATATCTACCCTTTTTTTTCTTAATATCCTGATGGAATCTCTCTCCTTGTTTGTCGCTGTAATCACCCAAATTTCCAGTAAAATTATCCACTTATGAATATAAAAAGTGTAACTTCAGGCTCATTAAAAAGCTTTAGTTTTTAGAGCTTCTTACCAAATTCAACACTATTTCTTTGTAATTTGGACTCTTATGATTTTGTCAGAAAAGTTTTAATGACGTTGTTGAAACACAACTACGATGTTTTCTCTATTTTATTCATTTTTGTAATAAAACTATCATCTTTCATTATCTTACAAATCTGAGGTCCGTCAAAATCGCTTAATTTATTTTAACATCACTCAATTTGAAAAACTGATGTCGGAAATATTTATAGTATCTTTCATCTATTTTTAAAGATTTTATCCATTGTTTCAAAAATCCTAATTTAATGTGCAGAGGTGGTATAAAAATTTTTTATGAATAAACAAGTGGTTCCTTTATTACATTTTTACAACCAGATATAAAAGTTTTCTTGGAGGTCAAACACTCTTTAAATAATGCTTTTATCGATTTCTACTATTCCATTCATATAAAAAGCAAGGATCTTCGTAGATCCCGATTGTTGACTTAGTAGTCTTGTGAGAATTTTAAGGTTCCCACAAATTTGCCATTGATGTTGTTCATACTTGATTCGGTCTAAGAGACCTTCATGTTACAGTACTCTCCGTCCAATGTATGAGTGTGGTTATGGAAACGGGTGCATAAACATTTGTGTTATGTAAAAAAACGGCTTCTGTACTTTTTGTCGACGAATCAATGAAAATCTTCCACTCATTTGGTTTTTTACGTCCTGATTTGAACTCATTCATCAATTGAGGGGTTGGGTGGAAAAACGGTATAAGTCGAAAAACGTGATTTTGAGAAAAATGAGAAAAACTTGTCAAACCATGATAAATGATTATTTATTTCATCTAATTTTTTTCTCGGGTTGAGTGAACTATTGTGCATAAGTACTATATAACAAATTAAAAAAATATTGTAAAATGAGCGAGATATATTAAAATGAAATTTTCGAGTTATACCGTTTTTCCAAAGATCAACTACGATTTTTTGAGTTTATAGCTATTTATTATCATAAAATTTATTACACATAGTTTACAGTAATTGTTTGATTTATTTGACTTTTATAGTGCCTTTTTTGGATGTTTTTCTATCCTTATTCTTAATCTTACAAATTTTTGTTTCAATATTTTTCGCTGTTTTGATTTCTTTCTTTGTGGTCTTCTTCGTAGCTTTCTTAACCTTTTCTTTTGCAATATTTGACACTGTCTTCATATTTTTTTCATTAGCATCTCTTTTTCCTACTTTTTTTATAGATTTTTCAAAAATAGTTTCAAACCAAGCCTTTGATTTTGAGTCAACAAAAGGCATTAATGATCTTACATCTTTTAATTTTTCGTCAGTCAGTCCAACAGGGCAGATAGGCAATAGTTTACTCGGAATACAAGAAACTTCTAAAACCCTATTCCACAAAGAAAATGTTTCTTTTTTTGACTGATCATCGCTATGAGTAACTTCAATAGATCCATCGGTAGTATACAATAGTCGATTGTAAGATTGAATTTTGAATTTTTGTTTTTTAGCATACGGCTTTGAATATGCATATTTACTCAATGTGTCATGCCATCCTTTTATCAGATCTGTACCTTCAATCACAAGAAACGGTTGAGGCTTTTGCCTACATTTCTCAAGTATATCTACATATTCTAACGCAGTTGGAATTACCTCAATTTTTTTTTTCATTTTACCGTATAAGCCAAAATTTCGATCACACTGGTTGTAAGAATGACCACGCACAGGAAAAATATGTTCTATAGGTACATCATATAATTGACTAAGCCATGAGAAGAAAAGAACCATACAGTGATTTTTGTTCTGACCTCCACAAGAATCAGAGAAAAAAATAATTCTTTTCACAGTAAATCAATGTTACTTTTGTGCATTTTCATAGTTTTTACTTTGTTATGTTGTGTTAAAGGTTCTTCGTGGTCGCGACTCCACGAATCGCGCTGAAACAACGCACGGCCCTTGAAGTCGCTCCCTCTGCCCTGTGTGTTCAGTGTTCGCCTGTAGGGTGTGCGTGATTCTGAGTGTCCGTAGTGGCAAACCTAGGCTTTATTCACGGGGATCCCCTTCATTCGCTTTCGGGCGGCTCCGTTTATAGGAGTCCCCGGGCATTCGCATTTTCAGTAAGACCCGTTTATAGGATCGCCGAGCATTATCTCGCCGGTTTGCCAAGAGGCATGTGTATGTAAGTGTTGGTGTAATGTGTGAATGTAGGTGTGTGTAAGTGATTCATGGTTGAGCACATCGGCAGAATACCATTTTCTTTTGCGTTATTTGTAAGCCATATTTACTCTTCGCCGTGTCCGTTATAGCGCTGCTGCTCAGAGCATTGACGCGACGGACAACGTTTTCATCGGGCACGGTTGTGGATGTTGGAAGTTAGCATTTCTCCAGTGAGGTGTAACCACTCACTTGACTAGCCAGGCATTATTTTTATTATTATTATTATTGTATTTCAGTCCCATTACCTATATTCGATGGAAAATTCGAAAATTTGCAGGTTTTCAAAATGTTTTTTCAAAACATTTTGAATTAGATGTGGATTAATCAAGTATACTTTACATTATCGCAAAATTATAGTCAAAAGTTATTAACCAATAAAGTTAGTTAATATAATAATGCAATGTTTACAATAAAATAATGATTATCTTATTCTTAGCACTCTCCATTTTTTTAAACAAAAAATTTTTTATATCCAATTTTAGAGCCAACCCGTTGTGAAAACAATAATAATCAAACAATCATCTCAGGTTACACACGTGTGTTTCGTTGGTGAATATCCAACCTCATCAGATCTTTATTAAAAAACAAAACGAGAAAATGGTTACAATAACAGATATAAACCAAAAAACAAATAATAATCACGCTAAAAAAACATTTACCTCAATTCGCAAGTCACAATCAAATTAAAAATCACAATAAAGTCAAAAATACACTGTCAAAATCATCCTATAACATTCGTTCGAATATTCAAAATTCAAATCGGACAACGACTAAGAAATACTGCAAATCAAAACAGTGTCTGTTGCCTTTTATACCAAAATAGATCACACAATCAGATGTATCCCCTCTCTTAGGCCATGAAAACAGTACATTAATCATCATTGTACATCAAAACAAACTTTAAAAATTTATTATAAATAAATGTGAGATCAGTCAGCTAAAACATCAAATAAACCTTTATATTGTTTACTCAGTAAACTAGTGTCTTCTTGTCTATTTATAGTGTTATAAGACAAATTAATATATATCATTTCCGAAATTAATCTCTTATAATAATTAGACTCTCTATCTAAAATTATTGTGTTGTCCCAGTCAAACGAGTGTGTAGGATAATTTTTTAAATGCATAGGAACAGGAAGAGATTTATCTAAAGGTGTCTTCCTATGTTCCTCTATGCGTTTTTTTAAACTTCTCTTAGTTTGACCAATATATACAGACGGGCAACTATCACAACAAAATTTGTATACTACATTTGTCTCATTCCACTTTTCTGTTACATCTTTACCCAGTTTTATTATATTGTCCAGCTTATGATTAATTAATGGTAAACAATGAACATTAAATTTTCTTAAACTATGGTTGCATAAGTTAAAAAATTTTTTTTTGTGAAAAGGCAACGTTAAAACCATCGATTTAATATTCGTATTTTTTCTATCATCTTGAGTAGCAATACTATTCCAAAATCTATG